CTAGCTATGTAGGCAACTATTCTTTGAATAAATCCAAAGTCTAGGATTTTCTCCCCTTTAGTCCTCTTTCTCATACCACGACTTGTGGTCGAAATCTTTCCAATCTCGTAACTGTTGCTGTCTCCTATCATGCAACATGTATGTCTCTGACTTTGTAAGTGTGCTTATGCGACTCTCTCTCATTTTTCCTCCAGCTTTTAGCCAATCTCTAGGCCTCAATTTGTAAACATATATAGATCTTGACAACATGTCCCTCTAGGCATTTATAGGTATACTTGAAGTTCTTTGCTCGGTACTCTTTTTTTGAACTTACAAATATTGCTATATTTTATTTCATATATCCGCTTATCCATTTGTATGACTTTACTGCATCTAGGTAGGTCATACTATACCAAAACTCTTACTTTGATTTATCATTACTGAGGTCTGTTACAGAACTCCAGGTTACTTTTGTTACTTATCCCATATGTATGAATCTAAGTCCTTTAATTCTTCCTCATTACTTGTTGATCTTAAAAATAACGGCCTAATCTCACCTTATACTTTGTGACTTATGTCCATCCATTGTTGATTCACCTCAAAATTGATCTATCTAGGGGCGATACTATACTTCCATAACTGTTTTTAATAGTATCCCAATGTGATTCACCTTACGTGGGTATTTTAATCCCGTACAATTCGCGAAATCCTCTTCAAGTCATTACTCAATCGAAGGCCCAAACATCATTCTTTATCCATCACAATTACACCCTCATTCTACTACCAGGGCAGTATTCCATTTCTTCTAAATGCCATTAGTTTTAGACTCCTTTGAGTTCATTCAGGCTATACCGAGCTTTGTAACTAAAAAAACCATCAGCTCTTCTTGTTTTCATGGGCTTAATCGTGAGGACTTATCCATTCTTGTCACCTTCTAACTCACCCTTTATTATCCTTATTCCTGACTTCCTAAAACCTTGTCGCTTTACCATATTTAGTTTGCCACTTACACATATCCATTTATACTACTCGCGACCTCCCTTCAATTTGCTTGCACCATAGATTTCCTTACATTATTTCTGGAACATCGAGTGAGGCATCACATTGTCTCAAACTCTTCTTCACTCTTGTAATTTAGACCTCTCGATACCTCAAACCCATAGGCTAGAAAATATACCACTAGTGATGTCGCTATCATTCTTGGATACTAAATCCTAGTACTTCTAGCCTTTTGTCCGAAGTATGGACAATTCACAACCTTCTGTATTTGAGTATCTCGCACGTTGTTCACCTTTACCTTACTTACCTTAAAAATCTTACATCACATCTTCTATCTTTTTCATAACCTCCCTTCCACATAGGTATGATTCACATCCACAACTTGAAGCTCGATTATCATACTCGCACCTCCTTACACAATCCGACTAGAGCTTCATACTGACTTCTTATGAGGTTGGTACCCTTCTAACTGGCTTTATCGTGGAGTCATTATAGAATATGGTTGTTGTACTCTCTTGTACCTCTAATATTAAGAGTGATTCTGCAATGTTCTTAATACGATTTTTATAATTGTCTAGGGCTAATAATCAGACTCATGATTCACTTGGTTGATGTAACTCTTTAGTTTCCTCTTCCTTTTGATCAGCCTTTATGTAGTCTTAAGCTATCTTCTAATCTGCGGCTCATGGAATTTAGTTATTATTTTAATCTTTCATGGATGCTATGAAAAATCATTATACAATCTTGTAATGATTCAATCTTTTGTCTATGACTTGGACCCAATTCCTTCTTTTAACTCATACTGGAGCTTTTTACGGCTGATCATTAATCAAATAATTCCTTTCATTCCATTTCAACTTTCTTAAAATGTAAGCAATTGCTTTTTCTGGTCTTTTTGCCCCTTGTTGCATGTATACTTAGCTTATCTGAGTTCTTACACGTGTCGAAATTTTTGTGCAACTCATATGGTCTTGAATATTACTTTTGGTTTTACTCCCCGCTCATTAGTCATGTTAGGTGCCACTTTCTTTTGGAGTCTACACAATTTTGTGGTGAAACTGTTGTTACACATCCATTTCCTCCTTAGGTTACTGAGCTTAGGTTGAAGCCTTCTTCCTTACTTCCTCAGCTAGTCTTTCATTGTAGTATTTAGGGAGGATCCGCTGACTCTTGTAAAGCCGTGAGCTTATTATATTGTATACTCAACGGACCTTTTGATGTCCTTCCTTGCCTATAATTATCTGTAGTTACTTACTTCCACCCCCTTGTGCTTGTATGGTTGCTTCTGAACTTGATAATTTGACTCACTTCCCAGTGGCACTTTCTTTTATCTCCGTAACACTCATATGGTACCTGTAACTACCCCAACTCCTATCTAAATATTTCTCAATGATTACGATGTCATAACTACGAGGCTAAATTTGCTATATTAGGTTTTACTATGTTTATCCTGCATGATCTGCTAACTCGTCTTTAACCTCCTGTTTAGCCATAACTAGGCTTTTCCCGAACCAATTACTAACTACTCATTGGACCATTCTCATATCAATGTTTCTTGTAATCCTTCTTGGGTTATTTCCTTTGTTTTAACTTACGTCTCGCACTTGCTCCTTATCTATCAATAACATCTCGGGCAGGGACCCTTACTTCCTTTCCTTGATGTTGTGTTTGTATAATGTTCTGGAATCATAGTATATCTGTAAGCTTTGAATAAGTGCAATCTCATTTTTATCGCATTCTTCCTTTACCATTCCATAATTACTAGAATCACTTAATTCTTAATTGACGCCACATCACACCATATTCCCCCTTTAGGGGAGTACTGAGAGTTAGGGCTACGACAACCTACCTATAGATGTTTTACCTCTTTATCTTCAACGTCTTTTCATACCATCGATGACCCTTACTTGCCTTGCGGTAATCATTCTATACCAAGGATAATAAAATTCCTTGCTTGCGATGGTGACACTTAGTGTAATTGGAACATACAGTCCCTTGAGCTTAACTTTTCTCAGATTGCTTACTTTAGGGAAGCGTCTTCCTGAATGATCATTCTCAGAATTTTTCATGAATCCTCTGCTGTTGTCCATTCTATTATTGTTGGAACGCAATCTATGAAATTCCCATCATTTCGGCCATTATCAAATTACTCAGTTCCCAACTCATGTTTAGCTTACCTTGTTCACCAGCCCATACTGATTTCTATTACTTTAGGGTCTAACTTTTCCTTCTAACAATCGCGTTGGAGTCACAAACTTATTTCTCGAAATGAGGATACAACTTTATGGCCTATACTCATTTGTTGTCTCCAACCTGGCATGTCTCATTTTTTTCCTTCCCTCGATTATCGACAATGTAATACTATCATTTCATTTTATTGTTCCACCGTTGTCATCCAAGTATCACATCTTACTCATAATTCTTCCTTATCTATCTTCTCATTACTGCTAATATTTCTCCTTATCCCTTTCTGGTGAAAACTTCAACAAGACATTCTTTTGCTTTTATCTACATTTGCTTCATTCATCAGTTCTGCGGGTTTCTCAATGTCCTCGCTCTACTAGGGACGAGATTCACACTAAGGTAATATTTATCCATTCCTGAATGGTAAATAATAATAACCTTTATTAACTGGGTACCTCGTACCCTTCTTCATCTTACTTCTTTTACTTCTTGAAACTTGTATTTATCTTCTGAGTCTCCCATTGTCTTTCACCATAAAGGTGGATAAATATTCTTGCCTTAAGGTTCCTTATCAAGAGGCTTACACGTCTTAGTATACACATGATCTGTTGAATACCTCAAATTTATCCATCATAAGGATGATACAAAAATTGAGTTCCTCTGACTCAACTCTTCCACAGCTATATCTCTTACCAACCGTCTTTCTGGATGTAGGCATCGTTGTATTACAAATAAGATAGAGTTTAGAAAATTTAGTTCTTAAAACTGAGCTCTACCACACGATCTAGAGTAGGAAGAAAGATCGATAGTCCTAAATGCCCCATAGCCTCCTGCTTATAAGTGTGATGCACGACACACCCATAAACAAGACTCTACTAGACACAGCTTGTAGACTCCTTAGGACAGAATTGCTCTGATACTACTTTTGTCACGACCTAAACCGATGGGCCGTGACGGGCACCCGGTACCTTACTCAATCGAGTACCAACATAACGTATCTTTTCATGTCACTATCATAGATAACTGAGCTGGAAGGCTGTCGTGAGATAAGTAGAATACAACATGTGATACCAACTTATATGATGACGTCCAAATCCACTACTAAAAAGTAAACGGACACAGTCGCATGCAATATAATATACCCAAATATGAGTCGGGGTCGAATCCCACAGAGAACAATATGTAGGCGATTAGGAATGTAAGCGAATTATCACTTGTTATGTAATGCCAAACACTTGAAATTGATTTTATAAAAGATTTATACCTAAATGCGGAAATGTAAACTAACCTAGAAAGCAAGTAAAATTATCAATGGCTACAAGTATGGATGCATCAGGAATTACACTCAAGTAATGATCTAATGTATTTCACGATTTTACAAATATGAGCGAGTTTATGTTAATTAGCCACGGGTAATAATTTTATATTACCTTCTTCCGAAGACTAACAAGACTTCCTAATTGAATTATCCCTAAAACAATTAAGAGATTAAGCACACCCGGAATGGCTACAAGTAGTTCAATCCTATCCCTAGGTAGAATTTATAAAATGAGGGTTAACGCCTCAAGTTCTTGTTAATTAATCTTTTTCAACCCCAAATAATCTTTCTTAAAATTAATTCAGAATTAATGGGCAAGTCCTAGGGTTAGCTAATCCCTTTGGAAATATTAAAGAACATGAATAATTAAAGTAACAATAGCTCACTTCAAAAAAGAATAAAAATCATTCAATACATAAGCACAACAAGATATTTAATCCACATTTTAAATATGAATATTCCCATAAATAAGATTCAAGTGTTGGATAGAATACTACACACTTAGATATACAATACAAAGTAAGGAAATTAAGAAATAAACATAAATGGGTAAGAAATTCTCAACCACAAGCTACAAATCTTCAAGATCAAAGTGTGTGTGCAAAACCCTAGCTTCCAACCTTGTTCTCTCTAGTCTTTAGAACTGAAAATATGCCAAAGATATTTTACAAATGAACTGGTTTGGGTATTAAAGGGTTTGAGGCCAAAAAATGTGAAATTCCAAAATTGTCCAGGTCTGATGCTCGATTTTCGCATTTGCGAACATAAGTTCGCAATTGCGAACTATGGTTATACTATTTGACTTCACATTTGTGATAAGAACTTCGCATTTGCGAAGGTTGACTACTTAGTTGACTTTCACATTTGCGAGGTATTCTTCGCATTTGCGAAGACTGCCTGATTGCCCTTTCTTCTCAATTGCGAGAAACTTCTCGCGATTTCCATCATTGATAACTTCGCAATTCCCAGGTATATGTCGCATTTGCTACAACTGAGGCCCCTTTCCAGATTTTCTTCTTTTTAACTTCTTTTTGACTCGTTTCACTTTGTTCCTTCAAGATCACTTCTAAATCACATAGAACCTGTAATATAGAAGTAAATGGCATTAAACACATAATTTTATCACTCAAACATAGCAAAAATGTAGGCTTAAAGACAAGATAAGTTGGTAAAATACCCAAAATAACCACTCGTATACTGACATAGGCCGGTAAGGCCATATAATCTTTTATATACATGACATCTGTCTACAAGCCTCTAAGAATACATAATTTTCATAGAGGTCGGGACAAAATCCCTCCATACCAAACAATACACATCTAAATCATACTAACCAAACATGCAACTCCGAAGCAAATGGAGCGCATCAACATCTTCCGCTGAGCAGATAGCCTACTTGGAGGGCTCTCGACCTATCTATCGGGACTTGCGGGCATGAAACGCAGTGTCCCCAGGCAAAAGGGACATCAGTACAAATAATGTACCGAGTATGTAAGGAATAAAAATAAGTAAATAATAGACATGCGAAAAACATGGAGTAAAAGACTCGACATGTACATTTGCATAGCTCAATGAATCATTTCATTTTTATAATGTCATGCATATGCGTATAAATGTCATACCATGCATGGGTATATGTGTTCATAGCATCATCAACCCTCTGAGGGCATCCCATTATATCATCTCGGCCACTGTGGGCGAAATCATCAAAGTATATCAGCTGATCAGGTGGTGCTGCGTATATAATACCATAACCTTTCCCATATCCCATATACATATATATACATATAAATACGCATATATAACGCCATCTGGTCATGGGTTAGTGTGCATGTATAAATGCATGAAATGCAAATGAAATACGTTAATAAAAAATATCTCGGAACGTCATAAGACCATTATGCCTCTGATTAATACCATGAAATAAACTCCAACTTACGTATTTTTGAGACCCATGAACAGATGATAAAATAATATGATACATGGGGAATCAAGAACATAAGCATCTCTAGTATTTCTATGAATAGAGTTATTTATGAAAGTTGTGCATTTGTTCGTTTCGTTCGTGTCGTTTAGATCATGCCAAAAAAAAAGAAGGGATAACCTTAACATACCTGAACCGATCTTTTTGACAATCCTTCCAAAACATGCCAATCGCGATGAAACACGTAACGACAGGTCAGAGTGGGAGAAAATCCGTATGATATTCTTGATATCATAGCACGTTATTTCTTATCCGACTAATATTCACTTCACAATCTACATCATCAAAAAATTCTCTCGGCCTTCTTCTATCATGTCTTCAAAATTTCTCCAAGTTATATCATTAATAAAGAAGGCAAACAAAGGTAAACAAAGGACTTATTATGCATTTTGGTGTTATGCCCAGAATAAAGTCACGTCTAAAGACTTTTATCTATAAAGAATGGGTTTTATATGTTACGTCCAAGATAAAGTCTTATCCCCAAGACTTTTACGTGTAAAGAAGGGTCTTTATGTGTCATATCCAAAACAAAGTCTCATCCAAAGAGTCATAATAACTTAACCCTTTGCTGCCACGTTGAAACTTATCCAAATGACAATCCAAAATGTTTTAATTAATTACCAATTTGTTAATTAACTTGGTAATTTCCCACTAATCCAACAATTAATCAATTACTCACCTAATTAAGAATCATCTCAAATTACTTAAAATATCACTCACTTTTAACCCACTTTATATATCTTATAATCACGGTCATGTGATACCTTGTATGAAACTAGTTTATAAATACGAGTTATTATAGCTTGGACCGTATTTTATCCTCAAAATGTCAAACTTTGACGAAACTCATTTTCTTTGATTTGCTTACTCTCTCTTTCATGAGCTTACTCATCACTTATTTGAAATAGCATAATGCTTATAATCTCAAAGTAATCTCATTCCCGAACTTATGTCGGTTAACTTACGCGAAATTTTAAGGTACGAAAATGCGGGATGTAACATTTTATTTCCAAGCTTCCATCAATTTACTGTATATTTTTAATTACGAAAACATGGGTATAACACTTTGCTTCTTACATCTTTGAGCATCTCTACTAACTCGGACACATTGACATTGAAGTTGTAGTCGACTAACTTTGGTCTGAATTGATAATCACTATTTTTTATGTTTAAGATTCTTTCCCGGTCGATATGAAATCATATTATTTCTTTGCCCTTGATTTTTGCTATCTCAGTCCGGCCTTCGTCTTCTGTTATTTTCCCAATGTAGTGGTCAAGAATAAGGTTCACACCGGAGGCTAGAGTCTCTTTGTTTGTAATCTTCTTGTCTACCAACCATCTCTGGTTGGTGACTGTACCCTCTTGTCTCATTGCTTTCGAGCCCGGAGCGTGTTGAAATTTCTTCTTCTATTCGAAGTTTGGTGTTATACCTGTGATGCACATCGTTCCATGTCTTGGGTGGGAATTCCCAAAGACTATTTTTCAGTCTCCTTGTAGCTTTCGAACTACTTTTGTTCAAGTTCCTTGTGAAAGCCATAGCCGCCCAGATATCTGGTATGATGGGGAGCATTATCTTTTCCCTTTAAAAATAATTTATGAAGTTTCTGGAGCAATTCTGTGCTTTCTTGTTGGATTTTAAAATTTCCTTCATGCGTTTTTCCACCTTCTGTGTTCCGGAGTGCACTTTGATTAACACATTTGTAGGTTCAACAAACAAACTAATAGAATTTTCAGATAAATGAAAGTACCAGGTTAAAGCTTCGTTGGTTAGGGTCTCTCTATACTTTTTGACTAGCACGGATTCAGTTTATTATTTCGTGAGATTGTTCCCTTTGATTCCATTCATGTAGTCCATGACGTGGTCACGCAGATCAGAAGTTCCGTTACACTTAGGAATCCGACATATTGAACTTCTTCAGAATTCGTAATGGGGCGACACCTGGCTTCCACGGTTATCGAGAGTACTTGTTCATGTCGATTCCATTAATGATGTGTGGAACTCCTGGGATCTGTTCGATCCACTCATTCTATTCATTGACCTGTTGTTATAAGGTTAGAATCAAATTTTATAACTTATAGTTTTCGGTTGTACCTAAGCCTTTAGCTTCGGTGTCATTTGGAAGCCCCTGGCCTATCCATATATTCCTCAGTTTGAAGTTTGGGGTTTATCAAGATATACCCTCGAAGGTAGGGTTGGTGTCGCGGTTGTTGCACCACTCGTGGGGACCCTTGACGCCTCTCCAATCTGAGCGTTCAACTGTTGTTGCTGAGTCATAAAAATTTCACCGTCTCCTCTAACTGATGTTGTTCGTCACCCCTGCTAGTGGATCTTGCTGAGATATTTTCTCTTGAGCGGGATGGTCAAGTTTTAGGAGATTGATCATTTGGAGTTCGTTTTCCTCTAGTTTGATCCATTAGTTGAGCTGCTGGGTCCACTGGCTGGTTATTGACTCCAGACATGGAGTTTCCCATGAATGAATAATTAACAAGTGAGTAACATAAAATTGAGAAGAAGTAATAAAACTTTGGATCAAATACTCAAAACTGTTTAACCTAAAAATTAGTTTTAGAATACGTAATTAAATTTATATTATAAGGCCACTAGCAAATAGATTTATCTAAAGTGATTTGAATGAAATTAGAAATAAAAATGTCAATTAAAGTTGAATTAAAGAGCTAAATAGAGAGATTCTTATTAGATGTCGGCTTTTGATGGGGCTACACAAGAATGCAGTCAGGAATATAATTGAAATAATAACTTTTGCAGTGTTGTGCATGATTTTTTAGCATGTGTTACAAGTGCATGAAGTAAAGTGCTCTGTAGGATGTGACCGTTACGAGTTTCAAGCCTACACGTTGTGTATATGACTAGCTGGTGGCGAGATCCTTGCTAGTAATAACTACAATGGCGTAACAGATAGGGGCCATAATCTCCCGGGAGGATCTTGGGTATACTGGAGTTCAGACCGAAGGTGTTAAGTTGGTGAGTCCCTTCTAGTCACTCTTGTTCTGGATTTGAATTTAAATGGACAATCCCCATTGTAGTTCTTGGGGTCTCCCGGCCTTAGCTTCCATGTTTCGAGGTACCGAACCATTTCTGCTATGTGTCACTGCATTAACGAGTAGCGTGTTAAGACCGAATTTTACCGGTACAAGTTATTGAATGGTATACCGAACTAGTGTTTATTCTAATAAAGTGTCACAATTTTGTATTAACATTGTACAAGAAAATAGTATTAAATTGAGAGTAAATCCAAAAGTCTCCCATAGGCAAAGCCTTATTGGCATAAATAAAGTCATAAAGGAGGCTTTTAATTTGAAGGGAATGAGATAGTAATCTTGCGTACGCGCCAAAAACGGCAGTCGTGCGACTTTGGTATCTCCTCAAATCATTTGTTGGGTAGTTGTCCCCAACCACCCGAAAAATGCATTCCATCCCAACATCTGATTTCTTTTGCTCTGGGAAAACATATCATGAGACACAATCGAATCTTATTTTTTCTGTTTCCCATATAGATACAATTATACATTTCTCCTTTTGGTAGATAATCGTATCAATTAGACGAGCGAAACATTCTCACAATCCCAATAAAAGCTTCTTTGATTGATGGATGAATTTGGGTTCCCGTGGTGACAATTCCTTTCAAGGATCAAAGAAGATGGATTCTTTACAATTATAGAGCTTTTTGGGATAATCAATTTAGAGGACGGAAAATGTCTATTCCTCATGAGGGAAATGCTGATAGCAATAATGTTTCAGGTATTCTTTCTCAGCTGTCTTTAATTAAAACAAAATTATGCTCGTCTGATCATGTCTAGGATTAGATTATTTTGTTATATTATTCGAGGAAAGGAACAAGTAAATTTGGAATGAGCGAATATACATACATACATACATGTGCAGCTTTTAGGCAATTATACATGATCCTCAGTCTCAGGTTTTGCATATGGGCTTTTATCTAGCAGGGTTCACTGAATTCTTGTTTGTTTGATAAGATGATGTTGGATAATTTGTGACAAGAATGCATTTCTTGTTCTTATTTTCGCACAACTATGTTACAGATGATTTGTGACAAGGTGGGTTGCCTGATGGTAAGCACCCTCCACTTCCAACCATGAGGTTGTGAGTTCGAGTCACCCCAAGAACAAGGTGGGGAGTTCTTGGAGGGAAGGATGCCGAGGGTCTATTGGAAACAGCCTCTCTACCTTAGGGTAGGGGTAAGGTCTGCGTACACACTACCCTCCCCAGACCCCACAAGTGGAATTATACTGGGTTGTTGTTGTTGTTGTTGTATGTTACAGTAAAAAAGACCAAAAACATCATCTACTTCTTCAATCTGTTGGTATGGTTGTTCATCTTTTTCTGTCATTTATGCTACCAAATTCCTTTTTGGTCTTTGTTAAAGGGTAAATTGTACTAACATTCTCAGATTTATTCTTCACCTGCCGTGTTGAATTGACAAGCTGTTACAATTGAATGCAGACCATGGTTCGGATAGTTGCTGTCCCTTTCCACATGTGTAGTGTAATAATAGCTCATCTTTATTTTTCCTAGGTTCTTGCCTCTATGAACTTCTGCAAATGGAATCATCTTCAAATTGTAGTGGTCCTCAACCAGATAGACGAAAGCGTTCTTCGAGTATGTAATATCTTATTCTCAGCATGACATGAATGCCAAATTTTACTAGTTTTGAAGATTTACTAACCATCTTCCTTAACATTTTCACAGGATGATTTTTCTTTTATTTGTTTTTCCTTTTTTCACGATATACATGATCAGTTGCCTAGGATTAGTCACTTTCATGTTTACTCTTATGTCAATTTGATCACCATGGAGATATTTTTCCTTAATTTTCTTTTCAAATATGTTGAGTTTTACTCTTTTCCTAAACCAAATGTTGGATATTTGATGCTATGCTGTTAAATTGGTTGGATTCAATGCATATTTTCTCATTTTACACGATTGAATAAGCTTGATTTGCAAATATAGTCACTTTCACAGCTTGTAAGTGTTTCGAGTACTCCTGTGTTATGTTTATCAGGTCCTCGACACAGACTACAGAGGCTGCTGAGTGAATCTGGCAATAGATTCTGTGCAGATTGTGGATCTCCTGATCCAAAATGGGTGTAAGTATCAGAAGTTATGACATATCAGTTTCCTATCGCAATTAAAGAAAAAGGTCGATCAATCTCTTTAATTACTTTTTTGATTCATCTTGTAGCTGAACCTTTACTGTCCCACGTTATTTGACTTAGGGACCATCCATTACAGAAACCTTTTACTTCTTGTTCTGAAGTTTTCCTTTGTGCTGGTACTTTATTCATCTCAAATGTTGTTGGAACAGTAAATTTAGTCTTTTTCACCTAGTTTTTTTGTGGTTTGCTGTTTTGTGTTCATGTAAAGTCTCTCCTCCCATTCAGCAAACATACTGACATTGACTGTGGTTTGAGAAGATTTAAAATCATCCAAACTTGAGAATATTAGTTGTTTTACGTTATTGAAAAAATGCTTTCTTTATTTCCCCTCACTATATTGCATTTCAAGAAACTTAATACCTAGCAGTATCTTTTGTTTTTTGAAAAAAGGAATCCTGCTTTGAAGATTTTCCTTTAATTGAATCAGCGTTGTATATTCCTCTTTTTTGCAATTTGGCCTTGAGTCTTGAAATAGCTTTCTATATCTAATTCATTTCGTGATATTCAGATCTTTAAGTCTTGGAGTTTTTATATGTATCAAGTGCTCCGGAGTACATCGAAGCCTTGGAGTGCACATATCGAAGGTTGGATATTCAAACTTTGCGGTTTGTCTTAACCGCCATATATCCTGTTATTGTTGAATGTACTAGAATAATGTTTGATCTATTTCTATTTTTTTCTTGTGCCCCTTCATATGAACTGAAATTGTAATTGGAAAACCTAAAACGGAGTAGATACTTGAAATGTTGAAGTACGGGTAAGAAACCTGCCACGTGGAAAATTCTATGGAAAGAAAGAACCTAACCTTCTCTATTCATCTTTGCCTGGATGAAGCAAGTTGCTCCAACTTAACTGATGTGCAGAGAAAAACTTGTATCAATATTGTATTTCATTTGGGTTGTAATAAATTTCCACCAAAGCATGCAGTTCTTTCCATCTTATTCATTTTGAAACATGATTTAATCTAGGCTAAGCTAAAAGTTAGGAGAATTTACTGATTCACAAGCTGTTATTGTATTGTATTTCAGATGAATATTGTTGTATAGAGGGTCTGTACTCTTCATGTATGTCGCAGAAGTGTGTTAAAGTTTGCAAAATATCAAGTTACATAATCTTCTGTGTTTGTCATTCCAAGATCTTGCTTTTTCCTGACTGGGTAGTAGGCACCATTCCTGTACTTTATTCACTTTGATAATCTTTCCTCTTTCTAATGGAAACAAAATAAAGGTTAAAAGGGGTGCGGTGGTTAACTAGTCTGTCATTATTAACAGGTTCTGTCAGTGAAGCTCGACGAATGGACAGACGACCAAGTTGATAGTTTGATAGAGATGGGTGGAAATAATGCAGCAAACTTGAAGTATGAAGCTTCCATTCCTGATAGTTATCGGAAGCCCAGACCAGAGGCATCAATAGAAGAGCGTACTGACTTTATCAGGTAGCGTCTTTTCAGTAACCATACGATATAGTTATATGTACTGTCACATTCTATTCTGAATTGAAAATTCACTTGCTGGATACTCAGGAGAAAATACGAGCTGCAGCAATTTCTAAACTCTGATGTGCAGATGATCTGCCCCTTCCCACCATCATCATCCTCACGCTGCAATTCATTAAGCCTTTCTTGTAGTTTGGCCCTGGATAAGAGACATTATGAGAAGCAATCCACTGGGCATCGCATCCATGGCATAGGGCATGCATTTCGTAATAGCTGGAGAAGGAAAGAATCTGAACACAGGAGCACCAAGAAAAGTAACTCAATGGTAATAATTTCTTCTGTAAGGAACAAAATCTTCTATACGAACCTGAGTGAATTATGTTTTTTCTTGTATCCATTCTGCGTCTCAACTTACATGGAATGCATATTGGTAAGGTCAATTATTATTTGAAAAGCGAGAATTTCTTGTTAAAGAAAGGGGAAGGGCTTCTTTTAGAGAGAGCGTGAGGTGGGGATGGGGGGATTTCTGGGGCTTTGAATCAGGGCCACTTATATTGCAAACATTTGGAGACGGGATGGAAAGTCTTTCGTGCTCTATTGCCTTTTTGAGGGCCTCCCGAACCCCATTTTCAATAGTGCACTTTAGCGGAAGGCATGTCCCGGCTGGTGCTTTTGTTTCAAAATTGCTCGAAACCAAAATGTAGACTGTGTTATAGAGCAAAGAAGATGATGGTTTCTTATGTAATTTCAAAGACAATAATGCAATTCTGTACGATCATGGATTGACTTAATATCATAGTTAACACATGCATGATTTCTCACAAAATCAGCTTTCAATTTGTAAAACTGAATCATACAGCTACCNATCATACACCTACGTATTTTGTCTATAGGCAGGTATGGTTGAATTTATAGGATTGATAAAAGTCAATGTGGTGAGAGGGACCAACCTAGCTGTCCGTGATGTGGTAACAAGTGATCCTTATGTAATTCTCTCCTTGGGAAGCCAGGTAAATGCTAATTCTTTTTTGAGTTTTGTCATTGTTTGCATTAGTGCTGGCTAAACTTTTGAAGTTTATCCAGATCTGTAGCATCCTTACTGGAAACTATTGCCACCCAAAAGAACTGGGGCTGATGGTTTATTTGGAACTTTCCTCCCTCTCCTACCACCTGTGGGTGACACATGGCATTAAAATCCTCATACTAAACCCAGCTCTGAACTTCTTTTGGTTGCAGTCAGTCAAGACGCGTGTCATCAAGAACAATCTTAACCCTGTCTGGAATGAAAAGCTAATGTTGTCAATTCCAGAAAATGTTCCTTCTTTGAAAGTGGTATGTGTTTTTCTGTCATTTAATTTTATTAGCTATTTAATGTGAAGAGGGACAATTATATGAACAAACTAATAATAAACCTGCCTCAATACCTTCTCATTTCTCTTTCCATGTTTATTTTTATTATGAATACTTAAATCTAGTCTCTGGTATGACCAGGTAATAAATGGTACAAGCCATTTTCTTTCTTTTGGTTCCTTTGGGGAAGTGGAAAAGAATGTGAAAGAAAAGGTTAAAATTTTATCAATGAACAAATGAGAGAAAGGACAAACTTTTCCTTTGCATAATTTCCCTTTCTTATTACAAACAAACAAGGAAAGAGAAAAGAGATTATCTTCTTTTCCTTTCATATCTCTGCATTCAGTCAAGCTGCTAGAGCTACTTGGAGACGTTAGAAAAATTTTCTGCAATTTGTTACATAATTGTATAAGTATAGTGATCCTTGTAATGTTATTTAGAACATGAGGAGCAATCAGAATCTTAAATCTCTACATCTTAGTTCATCATCTTGGTTAAGGAATAAAATTTGGATCAACCACATTCAACGATATGCCTAAATCTTAGCTTTCATCTCCTAATAACACAGATGAACCGTAAATTCATGTTTTATGTTGCTTTCTCAATATAAATGGTTTCACATCACATTCATGTCTCTGTTCTCTTCATCTTGGTAACTAACTTAATATGATTGTCGTTTTGATTCTGTGAGGTGTTCCAAACTTGTATCAAATTTAATCACAACCAGAGATGACACTCCAGACTGAATGAAGGAAAAATATTGTTAAAACTTTCTACATAGCCTTCTAGTGACATCACTAGTCATTTTTTTTAGTATCATATGATGGATGATACGTGAAAGGAACTTGAGAAAATGCCAATTTCAATATGAATCTTCATCTTCTGCACATTTTTATTTAATAAATTTCCTACCCTACACCCCCTTGGGCTGCGGCCCTTTCCCAGACCCTGTGTCAACACAGGATGCTTTGTGCACCGGCGGGCTGCCCTTTTTTTTTTTTTTT